AGAGAGAGAGAGAGAGAGAGAGAGAGAGAGAGAGAGAGAGAGAGAGAACTGAAACTACACTGAATTACACCTTTAATCTGATGCCAAAAATGGAGCTGAGGAGGTCAGGACTTCTGGCCCGATCATATTACATTTTTATAAAATGTAGCATTGACTTCTTCAACAATTACTCTGAGCAGACGCAATGCATAGAAGTGGGTTTCATGGTGTTTATTGTATCCTACATACTTGAAATGTCAGTTAGAGGCATTATTTTACATAGTTCATTATCCTTGGCTGCAATTATTGAAAATCACATTTTTCAAAAACAAAACAAAAAAATCCACAGCTATTTATACCGATATCCCTTGTAACTAAAACTAAGTTTTCTTCATGTCATAGTATTGTTGCTTCTGGGAGGAAAAATTTGATTAAGTCACCGTTATTTTTCACAAGAAATTCCAAAATAAAAAAAAGTTTTCACTGGAAGGATTTTACTATATACAAAAGCAGTTATTTTAAAAACCTATCAAATTATATCTATGCCTCTATTTTTGGATAACAACACTTTTCTATAAAGGTATCTTTCAGAGGAGTTCTCTTCTCAACTGAAGAAGCCGTTATACACTACTTTGGAAGACAGTGGCACTGATGTAGTGCATATTAACTGGTTGTTTTCAGAGCCTTGGTTACTGATTATACATCATGGTGCTTTAAGACTTAGGATTCTGCATATCAGTATTTGACTTCTCTGGTATCAGTCAAACCTGTAAATTGACTTGACTAGGAAGAAGCCAATAAATGAATCCTATTAGTCACTTTATGGGATTTATTTTGGGGCAATTATGAAATACATATTTAGATCTAATTCTTCTTAAAAACATTCACTACAACTTGAGTTTTCTGTTGAGATAAAGGTTCAGAATATTGAATTGACAAAAATGTTAGAAACCCTGAAAAGCTAACATAAATTCTTAATCCCTGTGTCATTTATACTTCATAGGCTACAGAGTATGTTAGGAAATGAAGTGTGAGTGAAATGTCATTTCACTGACATGTTAGGACACAACACTATGGATACCCAGAAGCGTGGAGATTAGATTCCTAGGAATTCATTAAATTAACTGAAATTGAAAGTCAGTGGTGAGAGCTACTGCCAGTATTGTCAAACCCGAAGGTGTGATCATATGGGCTGCTCCTTGCATGAAGGAATAGTTCACAAAATTGCTTTTAACTAGTCTTTATTTTGACAAACTTCTTGGTAGATAATGTAGCAGGGTGTTACAAAACTCATGTGAATTCTTATGAGTACAAATGTCGAATCCAATACAGGTTTTCTCTAGTTGTGTAAATATTTAACCTGCCAATAATTAAAAAAAAAAAAAACTCAGTCCAACAAATGAGATACAGTAAAAAAAAATGAAATATTTATTCTTTTGGCTCAATAATAAAGTAGCTCACCATTCTTTAAGTAGTAGCAATTCCCTGCATGCAGTTCATCAGTGCACTAGAGTAAATAGTTTTGTAAAAGGAATGAACATTAAACTTTTGGTTTGTGAAAAAAAGAAAAAGAAGAAAAGCATTGTATCATGTTAGGTAATTGCACAACTTCTCCACGTGGTTCCTGGTTAAAAAGGACAGAGCCAATGTTATATCTGTGATAGCTTTAGAGCAGCAGGATTTAAAAAAATAAGCCTAGTCTGCATATGCAAATACTACAAAAGTGAAGTTAAAAAAACCAAACTTCCATGAGTGAAGGATTCTCTGCAGGCAACCAGAGTTGGTAGAAAATGGTCAGGGTTTGAGAATTTGACCAACATATCTCTCATTAGAATGGTAGAAAATATATTATAACAAAGAAATCCACAAAACCCATTGTCTAACTTTTATTTTAGGAAATTATCTGCTGAAAAGTCTTTTGGATGCAAAAGTTTGGAGTTTTGATTTAAAAATAAGAAGCAAAAGGATAAGGTAAAATAAATTGCCATGTCATTAACCTGAAAATAATTTTCTTATGTACAAATGCTGACAAAGAAAACTGATTATATTTTACATTATTTATATTTAAACAAATTTTGGACTTTGTGTCTCCTTTAAATTAATAAAGACACATTGTGATACTCAAGTTGAATTAACAATGCAAAAATAAAGGTGTTTAAAAGTAATATCAAGGAGAATTTCTTGACATGTAGACAGAGAGCAGATTGAATTCATTCTACCACCAACATGTGACTCTTCTCACCAAAACTGTGATACATGGACTGATTAAAATAGAGCAGCTTAGGCAATATTAGCATGCATTAGTGATAGCCTTCCAACTATTTCTGTGTAATGAATGGTACAGGATACCTCCCAGTTGGAAGTTTGTAAAAGACACATACACTGTGGTACATATTTGATTTAATAGAATTTGTGTATTAGGCTATATATACGTTTATATATATTTGCCCAAACATGCACCACAGGATAAAGTAACTATTTACAAAACAGAGGGTGTTTAATTGACATAAATTGTCAGTTTTGCTGAGAGCAGAAGATGGCAAAGAAATACTGCCACATTAAGTGGAATAACTGTTCTAAAGTGATACCTTGGATAGATTTTTTTTCAGAACAGAAATATTAGATAATTTTTTAGAGGGAGGACATTTAACTAAAATTAAATATAGAACTCTGAAACTTATAATAAAATTTGCACTTGTTGAAACAAAATATTTTGCATAAAAATAAACCTTTAAATATTAGAGGAGTCTTTACAGGCACATAACTGCTCAGATATAAATAAACATAAAAGATTAAAATACTTGTAAGCTAACACCATCCAGAAAGTGGAAGTATTTGAAACTGTTAACATTACAATTAATTTTCTCTTAGTTTTGAGCAATAATTTCATCTCTCAGGCAAAATATTTTTTTATAATTACTGGAGAAACTTGTGGACTTAGCAACATGGGATTCTTATATATATATATTTTCCCTTAACGTCAACTTCATTTTACAAAAATAGTGACATAATATTATGAACAGACTATGAAGTGGGGACCAGGAAGATACACCGGGACAGATTTTGTAAAAATATGGCAAATGTGAATGTTAAAAATAGATGACAGGCGTGTTGTACTAATGGTGTTTGGTGGCGTGATGATGGTCACTTTCACAATGGAGTTCTCCTCAGCAGTGTCAGCTGGTAATGGAAGCAGCAACCTCTGGTCAATGTTGATACCCTGTCTCACAGAGTGGCAGTGACAGAGGTCACTGTCTGGTATAGGCACTGACCTTGAGTATTTGTTGAAACAGTCAGTTTGGCATGGACCTCTCCCTAGAGTCCAGTTGACACAGACACTTTACCTTCAGAGGCTGTAAACAATTGATTACAAAGACATTTCTTTGTTTCTTTTTTTACTTTTGATTCTCTCTGATCTCTTTCCCTTTGCTTTCTTTTTCTGGTTTGTCTTTCTCAAACTTTTCCTTATCTGGTTTTGTTACACTGTCATAAGAAGGAGGAGAGGTGGTAGAGGAACTCCCATCCGTCTTTTCTGGGGTGGAATTCCCGTTTAATTTGTCAATAACCATATCTCCTTTTATAGGCAAGTCAATCCTCCCCTTGATTGTCTCTTTGTCATATTTACTTGATATGTTTTTTAACCTTTGCTTTAAAAGATAACATCTGTAATTACGCTGAATGATAGCAGCAGACACCTCCTCTTGTTTGCGTTTCAGAGTGGTGGTAATGGGCTCATAAGAGACCTTGGAGGGATTAGAAGCCATGAACCGATCTTCCATCTGGATCCGAAGGGCATCCATCTCTCCGCTCTCACCCAAGACCCGCTTTGTAAAAGCAAATAAGATGTCCAGGCAGTGGATGCGGTCTCCACTCACCATGGGCAGGTCCATGGCAATGAGCTGGACTTTGTTTGGCTTTGCGATGAGGAGGGGAGGATCCAGGGCAGCTGCAAAGTCAGAGAGCTTGCAGAACTCTATGAACTGAGTGGCATCAGGGTCGAACTTCTCCCAGACCTCGTAGAACATTTCAAAGTCATCCTCACTCAGGGGCTCTGCACTTTCTTCAGTGGCAACGCTGAAGTTCTCCAGGATGACAGCGATGTACATGTTCACCACAACCAGGAAGGAAATGATGATGTAGCTGACAAAAAAGAAAATCCCCACAGATGGGTTCCCACAGTCTCCCTTCACAGAGCTTCCAGGGTGAATTGCATCAGGGTCACAGTCGGGAGGTGCGCTGTTGAGGATGGGGGCCAGAAGTCCATCCCAGCCTGCAGAGGTGGTGATTTGGAACAGGCAGATCATGCTGTTGCCGAAGGTCTCAAAGTTGAACATGTCATCAATTCCGGCCTCCTTTTTAACATAGGCAAAGTTGGACATCCCAAAGATGGCATAGATGAACATGACCAGGAAAAGCAGGAGGCCGATGTTGAACAGGGCAGGAAGGGACATCATCAGAGCAAAGAGCAGTGTGCGGATCCCCTTGGCGCCTTTGATCAGGCGTAGGATTCGTCCAATCCTGGCCAGGCGGATGACTCGGAACAGGGTAGGGGACACGAAATACTTCTCTATTAGCTCAGCAAGGAACATTCCTATGGAAAATTAGAGAAGAAAAGTAGGTATATTGATGTTTATAGGAATGCTGTATGTATTCCTCCTTTTAAAAAGTAAACTTACAAAAACCCAAACCACACGTTTGAATCCACTCTAACACTGACATTTAAATGTTTAAGAGTTTTATTGAAATGATTTTATAACATGATTTTATAAAGAATATAATTTTTTGTAAATTCCAACATAATCTAAAATATTACTCTGCCAATTCAAGGTTATACCTATTATATTTCACTACTATACATAAAAGACGGCAATGAAAATAAAGATCATTTCTGAAATAAGTTAATTTAGTGTTCTCAATGAGAGTGATACTCTTTGTAGTTTGAGAAAATGGACCACATCCGAACTAACGTTTCTACATTTGGAGCTTTAGACTATTCTCATTTTTCTTTTCCTCTTGGTAAAATGCCATCCATCTTACAAGAGCCGTGTTGGACGCCATTGCTCTTTGTTACAAAAGACTGTTGAATGCTTTGGGCAGTGTTAGCTATCTCCTCTAGATAAGGATCCTCAAAGCAGGAATAAGAGTCAGAGACAGCCCCTGCCTCAGTTTTAGGAGTCCCACAAGAATATCAAACTACACAATCATCACATATATGTATAGGACCTAGGTCAGACCCATGCAGGCTTCCTGGTTGTTGCTCCAGTCTCTCTGAGCCCCTATGTGCCCTGGTTAGTTGATTCTGAGGATCGTATCCTTATGGTATCCTTGAATTCTTTGGCTTCTACAGTCCTTCCTCCTCCTCTTCCACAGGATTCCCAGTGCTCTGCACCACGTCTGAATGTCTCTGTATCTGCTCCTATCAGTTGGATAAAGTCTCTCTGATAGGAACTGTAGAGATGAGTCAGCAGTTAAAACATGTGCCTAGCCTCTAACCTGACTGTAATTCCAGAGGACCAGAGTTCAATTCCCAGCACCCACATGACAATTCACAATTGTCTATAATTCCAAGATCTGACACCCTCCTATAAATGCAGGCAAAGGGACAATGCACATAAAATAAAAATTTATAATTTATTAAAAAAAGACTCTCTGATGATGATTGTGCTAGGTTCCAGTCTATGAGTATAGTAGAATATTATCAGGAATCATTTCATTGACAGGTTTGTTTGTTTGTTTGTTTGTTTGTTTGTTTTTGCCAATCCTGTCTAGGGCTTTGTGGTTTCTAAAGCCCATACCAGGCCTGATATCCCACTCCCTCCTCTTCCTACTGCCTACGAATCAGGAAGTGAAGCCCTCAGCTAATGCTCTATTGCTGTGCCTCTCTACTTCCTGCTATGAAGATCATGAGCTAACCCTCTAAAAGTGTAAGCCAGTCTCTAAGTGAATGCTTTCTTTTATAAGCATAGTGTCTTCACAACACAAAGACAGTGACCAAGACAAGTAAGTACTAACACCACTGTGGTATCATGATGTATTTAAAAAACATGTGCCTAGCCCCTAACCTGACTCTGTTTACCACTAGCAGAATGATGTGATTTGAATCGATGCCATTGCCATGGGCTCAAGTGTCTAGACCCCTGATAATGTAGCTGGTTGTGATATTGGGGAAAGTTGTAGACCATTCAGGAGGTGACGCTTTACTGGGACAAATGGGTTTGGATGGGGGTAGGGTTTGGCGATTTATATGACATCCCAATTTCTTGTCCTCACTTTCATTCCCAAATGCAGGTTTACCTTAACCAGCTGTACCTTGGGCCCCATGCCAGGCTTTCCACATCAGGAAAGCTACTACTAATATCCCTACTACTGTGAGCCAGAATATACCCTTCCTTTGTTAAGTTGCTTCTTGTCGGTTATTCTGTCCCAGCAAGGAGAAAGGTCCCCCAATCCAATATTTAATTTAATCCAATTTAATTTCCCACCAGTTAGCTTTGTGAATAAACACAAATTTTAGGATTTTATTGAAATATGTTAGCATTTAAAATTTCACTCTGTACACCCTGCTCCCCTCCAACTGCATTTCTATGTCAAACTGTGGGCAGGATTTGGGGAAAATGTTCTCTAGAACGACATGTCTCTGTAACTTACAATGTTCTTACCTACAATCGAGAGGATCACCACCACAAAGTCAAAGATGTTCCACCCTATTGTGAAGTAGTAGTATCTGAGAGAGATGAGCTTCAGCAGGAACTCCCCAGTGAAGAGGATGATGAACACCAGGTTGATTCGGGACAAAACCAGGGTCATGTATTTGCTCTGGTCGTCCGTTTCCACCATCATGGTCACCATGTTGAGACAGATGAGGATCATGATGCTGATGTCAAACACTTGTCTCGTTACAAAGTCAAAGACCATCCCTTGAAATTTGTTCTAGAAAGAGAAGAGAGAGTGTTAGTGGACACATTGCATAATCAGTGGTCTGGTGACATTGCAAATAAGATCTTTCCACATGTGCCTCTGGGCGCCTTACAGTACACTACATAATCTCTAAGCTCCATTTTACTGCATATTTTTGAAAAAAATGAGAGGTACCATACCACATGCCAGGAACAAACATATTTTGTTTACTTGGGTCTCATAGGAAAAGAAAGCAAAATAATCCAGAAATTGGTGGCAACTGGTTGAAAATATTTAGAGGCTATTTGATTAATTATGATCATTTCTATAAAAATGATTTTAATTAGTACTGACAATTTAAGAAACGGTAAATGTAGACTTTCAGATGAATAATCTACTTCATTTATCAGTATTTTAAGAATTTTCTGATATCCATCATTTTACCCATCAATTAATGGAAGTTAAATTTATTTAGCTCTACCATGTCTACTCCTGCATGCTTGTGAGTTTATTTGTTAGTTTACCTGTTTTCATTTCCGTCTTTCCCTATTTATGTATCAATACAAATGTGTGAAAGAACGAGAAAGATGGCTCAGTAGCTAAGAGCACTGGCTGGTTTTTTCAGAGGACCAAGGTTCAATTCCCAGCACTCACGTGACGGCTCACAGCTCTCAGTAATTTTACTTCCAGGCTTCTGCACTCCATCTTCTGCCTTCCATGGGTACAGGCATGCAAGCAGTGCACAGACATATGTATAAGCAAATTATCTGAGCCCCGCCCCATGTATATTTTTAAAGATGCCTGAGAAATGCTTGTATAATTAATACCCATTTCAAAAAACATGTGCTTTTAGAGTCCTGTGTAAATACAATGTCAAATATGGTTTTATTAGATAATTAAAATAATGTATAATAAAGATACAAAATCCCATGGCTTATGGAAAAATCCAAGGTCATAAACCAACCATGTTTCCACATATCAGTGACCTTTGGTGAAGCGGGTTCATTCACTCCTTTCTGTGTGAGGTACCTTCCCATCCTTCCTCCCTACCTTATATCTCCCAGTTTTATTTACTTTACATATATAGTAAGGTGAAGAACCTGATAGGGTTCATGAACCTTTGGGGTATGAATTTTGCTGATCTTGGTTTATGTGAACAGGGGTACAGTTACGTTATGGGCCTCAGATGCCTTACTATTTTCTCTATCTGAGAAGATAGGTGAGTTATGGTACAGTTCTTCTAATGTACCATTACCATGCCATTCCACATTAGGAAGTGTTACAGACTATGCATTTGAATGATTTTTATTCTCTTTCAGTGAAAGAAAATTCTTAGGGACAGTTTTCCTTTCCAAGAAAATTGGGAATATTTTCTAGCCTCAAGAATGAGAGAACCCAGCAAGACAAATGGTTTTCTCATGTGTAGAACCTAAACTCAATAATATATTAAGTTATAGATAATATGAGGAGAAAGAATGTCATGAATCTAGATACACAGGGGAACATAGAAAAGGAAAGGTTGTAAGGGATTGTGGAGAGAGCTATGGAGTATATGTGACATGAGGTGGAAACAGGAGGTTACTAGTTACAGGGAGGAAGGCACCTGGACTGAAGGGTACAGACAGCATAAAAGAGGGCAGAAGGAGGCGGAAGTTATAACAGTCTAATGATTCATATGTATGAAAAGTCTATGAAATATTGTTTACTTTGTATGGTACCATAAAGGGTAATAAAAGAAGGAAAAGCTAAAATGAGCTTTATAACAGGGAGGGGAAAAAAGGAAAGGAAGAAGCCACATTGTGGAGGAAAGATGGAGAGATGGACAGGGATATCTGGGAGCCTGAAGGACACATCAATATGGTCAGAGGGGCAGCAACCACACGTGTCTGCAGCAGGAGGGTGACTCTCGCTTTGGTGTCAGTTCTTGGGAACTCTTGAGTTGGAGGTCTCAACTCACCAACTATCAAGAATGTCCCAGTATTTTAGGAACTTGACACCTGCTACCAAGCATTGTAGCAGCTCGAGAGTCTGCTGCACAATATGGGATTCATGATTTGATTGGTGTGATAGATTGGTGACATCACCAATATGTTTTGATCTAGATACTAGAACTGAAACACTGTCTTAGAATTTTAATGAGTACAAGGTAGACTTCTTACTGCAGGCCGAGGGATGGGCTTCTGAGGTTTTTTGGAGCCAAGTTTCTTCATTGCATTGTAGTATTTTTTCTGTTCTTCTGTCATAAAGATGTCTTGACCTCCAAAGTAAACACACAAAATAGCGTGGTTACAATCCTAACCTGTGTTACAACAGTATTTTAACTGAAGTATTTCTGAGCCTTCCTTTAGTCTTGTCTCAATTTTGAATGGATATTATCTTGCTAAATATAGATTTATTTGTCTGCTTCACCCATTTATGTGAAATGCCGAAGACTTTAATATTATGCAAAACCCATAAGCACATAAAATTCTGATTAGTCCAGCATCCTAATTGGATTATATTATGTTCACAATGAATTTTAAGGTCCTTAAATATATTTTCAGGGAGCCAAATGTTTTCTTCTTCTCTTGCTGTTTAAAGTTTTTTTGCTGTATTTAATCTTTTTTAAAAAAAAAAACTGTTTTTGTGGGCCAAGCAATGTGATAGGCATAAAAATTACATAGGTATATAACATGGTATCATGTTCCTTAAGGGGGCAGATGGAAAAAATGTACAATAATGTGCAAAAGGGGGTGAGGTTAAAAAAAATCAAGCAAATGAACAGGAGGAAGGAAGGAAAGTCATTGTAGACACAGCAAAAATTGAGAGAGCCAGGCTTAAGCCTAAGGCTTTAATGTACAATAAAGAGTTTGCTTGGCAATGCATCTCAGGAAGAGAAAATATCACTTATAAAGCCATGGGGAAACCATTGTGTGGCTGAGTTCAGAAAAGGTCAGGAAGACTTGTGCAGTTACCCTGTAACAAGTGCTGTGGTGATGTGGGTGCTGAGGGAATGAGTACATAAGGGAAAGAGGATAAAAATGGCGTGTGGGAGAAGAGGCTGAGAAATTGGGGAGGGTCATTCCTGCAAAGACCCCATCCGCCATGCTAAGCACTGGATAATTGTTGATGTACTGAAGTAATGGTTATATTACAGATTCAGAAAGACAGCTGTAACCATGGATGAAAGGAGAGGGCCAGTAGATTACCAGCCACGTAGTAAGGCTGAAAGTCATATAAACATTCTAAGTGTGTCATGACTCCAATGGTCTGGTTGGCTCTATGATGGACTGGTGATTTGAGTAGGGAAGGGTGGGAGGTGAGAAATACTCATCTTCTTCTTCTGCTGGTTGAAGTTGTCTATGATGACACCGATGAATAGATTCAGAGTGAAGAACGACCCAAAGATGATGAAGATGACAAAATATAGATACATGTACAGATTTTCTTCATATACAGGCTGCAGTTTGACCTAAACAATAATGAAAATATTTAATATCGTTAGCAAAGAGGACCCTTGAACTAAATAATGTAGTGAGTGCTGTTACTTAATATGAACTTATCATGTCTTTAGATATCATTTTACAAAAATAATTATTTTCTCTAACAACTATGAAATTTGAAACTTTTACTTTCGAAATTTAATATGTTTTTTCCATTGTAGCCTGCCTGACAAATATTCCTCAGCACAAGTAAAACTGATACAAATTCAGCTAATAGTTTGGGTCTATTATTTTATTATAATTGTCACCATTATTATTATTCCAAAAGTTTTGGCAGTATCTTCTCTTTGTCTTTGGAAAAGCTTAAATAGCAGAAAATCAACTAAGAGAAAAATACAGGATAGGCAGACATGTTTTAGCCATTTCTTTGTATTTCTGAGTTTGAGTTTCCTTGAAGTCTCCTAGCTTGTCTGTGTCCTAATGTTCCTGGAAGCTGCTTCATAGACTGGCTGATCATGTCCTCTAAAGAAACAGAAAAGCAAGTGATGCCTTTCCACTGAGCTACTTTCCTACTCTGAATAGTTCTATTTTCAGGGCTAATCTGATGTCTTCTACTCCATGTAATTTGAGAATTTTTCACAGTAGACATGTTATCTATTACATGTCATACCTATAGCAACCAAACTACTATTCACACTGTGAGCACTCTGCCAATCATTTCTACTGTACTGATAAATACTATATGCAAGGTAGATTCTGAGTCTCTTAGTTCAATTCTCACCAGTGTTTACCATGGACAATCTGGTAGCTGTAAAGAGCATCCAGGAGCTACTTACATCCCGTGAATCAACAGCTGCATACATAATATCCATCCAGCCTTTGAATGTGGCCTGTATTCAACACATATCAGAATTACTTTTGAATATCTCAATCAAACTCATTGCATTTACCAGACATTAATACAACAGTATTTTTATAAGTATCTTTTCATACAATACCATGATATTTTCTACACAGGTGTTCAAATGTTGAATGGGGAGGGTGTCATCAAGTACCTTTCTACTACTAAGAAAACAAATTTGTATTTAGAATTTAGGATTTCTTTACTTTTCTTCTCTTGGGAGCTATACTATGCTACTTTTCTATAATAACACATAATGGAGACTTGATTAATGAAAATCCCACCTTAATCTCATTTTAAAACTTTCCAATAAGAAGATAAAACCTGTGATTTAAAAGCTATGGCCGTATTCAAGCAGAACTCCTTTTCACTAATAACTGATTAGCAAATATGCTGTCATGAAGTTAAGAAACTAAGCATTGAGTATTTTGAAAAGTATCCCTAGAGATTTGCACTTCTGCATATAATAGCATCACATTATTTTAGATACTACTACAGAAAGTCTCTAGCTAAAAATTTGTACACTTCATTCATTCATATAATATATAATTAATATTTCAATATACATAATTTTACAGAAAATTAAAAATAGAAATGATTAACAATATAACAAGAAAAATATAAGAAGAAGAAAAGAATCTTGTGAAGACATTTAAAACTGCATTCCTGGGGAAATAAAAAAAACTGCAATGTCTTCCTAAGAGCCAAATAACTAACTTGAGGGATCATCAAACAGTAGTTCCTACTGTTAAATAAGAATTATTCAGAGTGCACCACAGGAGGGATCTTTGGTAGCATGCTTTGAAATGTTTTCAGGTTCATACAATAGCCACTTACCACTTGCAGCAACGCCAGGTAGCCAGCCCCAACGTTGTCAAAGTTGACTTTCACATTCTTCCACCGGGCTTGCTTGCCAAGAGCCTGACAGTCGCTGAAATTGTTGACTTCACTCATGTCGAACATGTTGCCCGTAGTCATGTTAACACAGTGATAGAACTTTCCAGCAAACAGATTCACACCCATGATGCTAAAGATCAACCAGAAGATGAGGCATACCAGTAGCACATTCATGATTGAGGGTATTGCGCCAACAAGAGCGTTCACAACCACCTGTGGGGGGACAGGAGAACAATCACTTGGTAAAGTGGAAGCCATTGCAGATGTGTACGCAATCGGCGTGAAGACCATTTGGATAGAATTAAATGGGTATCTCTGTAGATTTCTAGCCCTAGAATGTTTCTTCTAGTGTTTTTTACTACATATTGACAAGGGTATACAGACAACAATACAGCTAAAGAGTTAAGAAAGAAAGGAAAGCAGAATGCAACAAACATTGAAAGGAAACAAATACAACCTGAGATAGTAAGATCTTCAAAAATGTACACGGTGTGGGGGGAGAGTGGTGAGGGTGAAAATATACATTAAATGAAATAATCATTTGCTGTAACATGTATTAAGTCTTGTGAACATGTGTGAATTATTGGCGATCTGAAAGAGGAATTATGTAGCTTCTTCACAAATAAAGCATGACAAATGCAGTAAATTTGTATCTTCAGATCAGGTATATTTATATGACTATGAAGGTCAGGATTAAGGGTTTCCAAGTTTTTTGTTTTATACTAGAAAAATCTCAGTCTTTTAGACATAGAATGAATTACCATCAGATCTATCAGATTTTCTTCAGATGTATGAGTATCCCATTATTATTACTTGACAATGTCCCATCTCTTATGCTATTTGTTTTTATAAGGCTGACCTGCTTAGTGAAGGAAAACACCCATCCTTTTTTGTTTTTCTGAATAGAGGAAAGAGGAAGATGTGTTTTAAGATCTCAAGGATAGCAAAAGTAGCTTTTCTAACACTACTTATTCTGACAGTGTACTACATGATTAAGAGCTTATAGTCAATGAAACTATTGTTTTATTTAAAAATATGATAAATATTATTTTTAGAAATAAATTTGAAATCCAAAATTCTAGTGGTTTCCTATATTAATTGAATTTTATTTCCTTTAGAAATTAAGTCATATTTGTTACACTTGATAATTTTCTTTTCAGATTAAAATTATGTACAATGGCTTTTTCCATATCCCTACAATTTTTTTTATCTTCAAATAGATGTTGCTACATTTATCTGAATTAAAATACTAATCTAGAATATTTTTCAGATTAGAGGAAAATTGTAAGTTTTCAGACTTGTTCAATTGATATTTTCTCTCTGATATAGGCTATAAATATGTTTGTTGGCCAAAGAGTTCCCATGGAAACCCTCAAACAACCCAGGCTATTGCCAAGGCTTTAAGTTGCTCTCAAACTGATGGCAAGGCCCCATTGCTGAAAACAACGCCGACACAACTCATCGAACATGGAGAAGTCAAGCCGGTGCCTAGAAAGAGCCATCATTCCTATGTGCTAGTATCTTTGATACAGGAAAGTACTTTGCAGGATACTAAAAGAAATGTAAACCAACCCAGATACAGACCCTTTTATATACAACGGTGTTCCACCTGCAAGTTAAGCAGAAATTTTATGAGAGTAACCAACCAAAATCTGATTTGACTTAAGGCCCACTCCACAAGATAGATTCCATGTCTGATATTGCTTGAGTGACCAAGAACCTGTAACTTAGTCTGGGGACCTAGGTTAAACCCAAATAGTACTGTTCTAAACACACAAACAAACAACGAATAAAAAAAATAAAAATGTAGCATTAAAATGACATTCTGCTATACTCTTAGATCAGTGTCTTGCTCATCCATCATCAGAGAAGCTTCTCTCTGTAGTAATGGGAATAACAACAGAGACCTACAGCCACACATTAGCCAGAGAGTAAGAGACCTTGGAACATACTCTCAGCTCTAAGTGGGGTGTCTCCATCAACTCTCTCCCCTCAGGGTTCAGGGAACTTCGCATAAGAATAGACAGAAAGAGTATGACAGCCAGAGGCAATGGAGAACACCAAGTAAACAAGGCCCTCTAAGTCAACAAGATCAATGCACTTGGGAACTCACGGAGACTGGGGCCTGCACAGGTCCACAGGAGATGGGATCCTAGAGTTGAAAGAAATGGATATATTCCCTCATTTCTAGCCCCAAAGCTATCTCCAATCAATAACTACTTGAAAATGACAATTTTGTTTTCTTCAAAGGGAGTCTCACAGTGGGCTGGGTGGGGGAACAAACTATCTTAGGGGTGGGCTGCATATCCAGCAGTCAATGATCAACACAAAAATAAAATCAGAGTCATCTTTGGAGGCTCCTTGTCTCAAAATGTCATGTCAGGGATTTATTTTCTTTAAGCTTTATTTTTATTTTAATATACATTAGTATATATAGCATGCCTAATGATATATATTCTCTCTCTTGTTTTTACTCTACAGGTCATTTGTGACTATATTATGGCTTCTTGTTTAGTGTTTTTATGGATTCCTGAGTGTACCAATGAGCGGGTCTCTTCATCTATACCTATATTTCTTGAGCTTTTTATTTCCCTATTGTTTGTTTTACCCTATGTAAATGTTTTAGGTTGTTTTCCCATCTTGTTTTTTTTTTTTTTTTTTTTTATTGTCCCTTAGAAGCCTGTTTGTCAGTGAGAGACAGAGGGGGTGGATCCAGATGGGAGGGGAGAAACTGGGAGGAGAAGACGGAGAGGAAACTGAAATCAGGATATAGTATATGAGAAAAAAATGATCTATCTTTTATTTAAGAAATATAATTAAATAAACCATCACTATGAAGTCACGAAGCATGGCGTAGGCTCAGATGATGTCAGCACTGACAAAATTGTTATTTCCAACAGATTTTTATGAGTTTGTTAACATAGGCAATCAAATAGATTTTGTACCAGGCAAGCCAAGCGTATCTCTCTGCTCAGCGCTGCAGGAGCAGCTGGAGGGTAGTTTCATTTTCCACAATGAGTAAATTCTGCAGTCAAGGCTGAAGGGGTTTATTGCCCCAAACAAACCACCTCCTAATATAAAAACCCCATGGCCTTGAAGAAATTCAATATCCGTGTGCATTTGCAAAGCAGATTAAACAAAGCTGGCCTTTGTGCAAAGCAGTTCTGAAGGCGTGGCGGCGTGCATTTTATATTGTGAGACAAGATACACTTGCTAAGGGAGAGAGCAGGGGAGGATGAGGCTGGGGCTGTAGAAAAAGCAAACCTCAGCGGTGCTTAAAAGATCTGTGAAGTGAAGTCAGGCTTGTTAGAAATATGTAGCTAATTATCCTAGCAACTTGTTTTAGATATGAGGGATGTACTGGTTCTTCTGAATTCTATGATTGACATTAATTCAAGAAATAAAGCATTCTGAAGTCACTTTGCCTTAAAAAAAAACTGATACTTTTTGACGACCTCAAACTTACCTACTGAAGGCTTTGATAGGATGAGTGCTGTCAACAATCATTCCAAAGTACCCAAACAATAAAAATAATAGCTCGTGGAGGTTCTGTGTGTGTCTGTGTGTGTGTGTGTGTCTGTGTGTGTGTGTGTGTGTAGCTCTGTCTCAATTCATGATGTGTATTTAAATAACCTGCAGTTTCCAGAGGAAAGGCTTGTAGCCGTCTTGACTTTAGTCCTGAATTATCTAATTTTGTAAAGGGACTACCAAGGCTGGTAACTCTGACTTGAGTTTTAGAAAGCATCATTGTATCTTCTTACCCTCATGCCTTCAAAGCGGGATAAGGCTCGGAGTGGCCTGAGAGCTCTCAGTGTCCGTAGGGATTTGATGGCACCAAGTTCTGAGTAACCAAGAGCATTGGCTACTAGGCTAACCAAAGAAACCTGTAGATGGAAAACAAATGGTTAATCTACTACAAAACAAACTTTTAGATAGAGGCAGAGCATGTGCTGGCCATTCTTTGGTGAGAGGCGATAACATATGAATATAACCCTTCTATCTTTATCTTCTACATGGTTGTACAATCTGATGCTGTCCTTTCCCTACCTGCAAAATGTGATAGTTTATCATGCTAACACTTACAGGTATGTCATGCCACAGAACTCTTTGCAAAATATGTGTTTTTTTTTTTTTTTACCACAGGTAACTCGGGGCTCAATTCAAAAGCCTGATCCCTCATAGACCTTTGCTTAACCCTGCCAAATAAACTGTACACTGCTCTCCTGAACTTTATGATATTAAGGTTGTGAATCCTAGAGATATTTGCCAGGTACCAGAGTTGGTCAGCTGACTAGTCGTTTAATTTCTCCTTCTGTATCATACAAGTATTTTATTAGCTGGGGGGAAACTCTGTTCTTAACCTACCTGATGTGGTCTGGATAGATATACACTAATGGAGACATTGGTTTCCCACTGAATAATTTAGCATATCGCTTATCAAATTCAAAACAATAATGCATTGGACTAACAAGATGACATTTATCTGAAAACATTTTATCTGCAGTGGATGTTTAATAATACAACGCTTCTTCTCAGTGATCACGATCACTCGTCTTTTTGATACTTGTAATTATGTTGAATTTTAGTTAAACATATACAACATTAAATAACACATATCTTTTTGGAGTTAGGGGAACTACTTTGTTTTGATGTTCTTTCAGTATACTTTGATGCTACAGGCGCAAGTCTGAAGGGATCTGAACTGCTATTGTCTCCTATGTGTTGCTGAGGAGGCTGAGCATCAGTCCGAACACACATATCCTGATAAAAAAGTAAAATAAAGGAAGGAAGAAAGGATGGAAAAAGAAAGGAAGGAGACAAAATATCAGAACTGCACTGAGGTACAATGAGAGCTGTGAACATCACTTTTCATACATGTGTGTGTATGTGTGTGTATGTGTGTATATATTTCACATATATATTTAATTTCATATATATATAAATATCTCATATACATACATACACACATACACATTCATACATACATATATATTCTGTGTGAGCATGTGTGGTGTCTAGACCAATTGCCACCTAGTGCTTTCCTCAATCCCTCTCTCTCTTAGTTATTGAGACAGGGTCTTACACTGAAGGTGAAGCTTACTGCTTCAGCTATATTGACCACCCAGAGAGTTTCAGGATTCTCTGATCTCTACCTCTCCAGCATCAGGCTTATGGGTGCATGTAACTACACTTGACTTTTTGCATGAGTGTTGGAGTTCAGAACATGGTTCTTTCTGCTGTGGCAAGCAGCTCTCTGCCCAAGCCAGTTCTTTAGCCCTTTATTTCTACAATATAGTTTTGGGGCAGATCACCAAAAATTGGGTAACCTCCTCTGAATTTGTAATGTATTTGATTTATTTGGGAAAACAAAGAGGATTTTTAAAAACTGGAGGGGGTAGTTGTAGGTTTGTTTAATCAAGCAATTTAAAATAATTGTTTTTCATGCCAATAACTCTAAGATTGTCACAATTTTGATAGTTAATACTCGTATGCTTTGCATTTGACTTAACTTAAAGCAGGTCCCCCTATATGGCAGTGAGGTGACAATGTCTTAGAATGGTGGCCCAGGCCCAATCAGGCCTGATTCTTCGTGGGTAGACAGGAGAACTGTTAGCAGGTAAACACAGTCCTCCACACAGCATTCCCTAGAAACCTTATAATGCCAGTTGCAAGAGAGAAAGTGTTACCTTCCACTGCCTCTGCATCTGTATCAGCTCCTGCCTCCAGCTTCCTGCCTCAAGCTCCTACCTTGGCCTCTCTAAGAAGCCAAACAATAACACATGGAGATTCTTTCTAAACCCAATTTTTAACCTACCTTTTGAGTAAATATTTACTTCTGCTCCCTATTTGGATGAAATTCGTGAAAGAAAAGGAAGGCAGAGAAATACAGAAAAGGGAACAGGAGAAAATGAACTGACTAATTTTAAAACATTCTGGATCATAGAAAGCCCAGACATGATGGGTTTCTCTTTAAAGGAAAAGTGACAGAGACCCACGCATCTGCAGGAGTAAGAAAGCAGCTAAAGGAGCATGCAAAAGGCTCTGGACCTGCATCTGGACCTGCAGCCACCAGGTTGCTTGAAAATAGGCTGGAGCTACACAGAAAAGTGATTTCTGAATATTATTGCTTGTCTTTATCCACTCTGTGGAGGCTACCTGTGGCGTGTGACTAAAACTCCAGTCCAGACAGTTATCAATTCTCTCTGGTGAACAATCTGGAATTGGATATCTGAATTTTCATGTTAAAAATGGAGATATATATATATATATATATATATATATATATATATATATATCATAGATGCACACATACAATTACATATATTTATAAATATGCACCCTAACACACACACTATTCACCACCAGTAACAATGGGGGTTTATACCACAGGGCATTGGCAACTTATTTTCTTCTTCAGTCTTATAGCATATTTGTTTGCCTTGAATAGAAGCTATACCACTCCTAGGCATATACCCAGAAGGTGCTCGAACATATAATAAGGACATATGCTCAACTATGTTCATAGCAGCCTTATTTATAATAGCCAGGAGCTGGAAAGAACCCAGATGTCCTTCAACTGAGGAATGGATTTAAAAAATGTGGTATATTTACACAATGGAGTATTACTCAGCTATTAAAAACAATGAATTTGAGAGGTTCCTAGGTAAATGGATGGAACTAGAAATTATCATACTGAGTGAGGTAAGCCAATCACAAAAGAACACACATGGTATTCACTCACTGATTATTGGATATTAGCCCAGAACCTTAAAATGCCCAAGATGCAACTCACAGGCCACATGAAGTCCATAAAGAAGGAAGACCAAGTGGGGGTGATTCGGTCCTTCTTAGAAGGAGCAACAAAATACTCAAGGGAGCAAATATGGAGACAAAGCGAGGGACAAAAACTGAAGGAGGGGCCGTCTGAAGACCTTTCCACCTGAGTATCCATCCCATGTGCAGTCACCAAAGGTAGATGCTGATGTGGAAGTCAGGAAGTGCATGCTGATAAGAGCCTGATATGGATGTCTCCTCAGAGGTCTTCAAGAGTCTGACATATTCAGAGGCAGATGCTCACAACTAGCCATTGAAGTGATTATGGGGTTCTCAATGGAGGAGTTAGAGTGAAGACTGAAGGAGCTGAAAGGATTTGTGGCCCCATGAGGAGAGCAACAATACCAACCAACCACAGCTCCCAGGGTCTAAACCACCAGCCTGGGAGCACTTATGGAGGGATCCAGGGCCTTAGCTGAATATATAAGAGTGGAGGGCCCTGCTGGGCACAGGTGGAAGATGAGATCCTTGACCTCATGAAGGCTGGACGCCCCAGGGGGTGGGAGTTTTGAGGGTGGGGAGGTGGGAGTGGGGGGGTAGATAGAGGTTACATCCACAAAGAAGAAGGAGGAGGTGTGAGGGGATTGGGGGTTCCTGGGTGGGTGGGGGATGGGGTAAGGGGACAACATATGAAATGTAAATAAAACATCCAATAAAAAAATTAAAAAAAAAAAAAAAAAAAAAGAAAAATCCTAAGGCTATGAAGTTATGAAATACAAGTATCTAATCATTGAGCTTTTGGTTTTGGTCATGAGAAAATGACCTATAAGCTCATCTCTGGTTAAAGGGTAAGTCCAGTGTGGTAGACACATCACTGGAGAGCACTATGTGGTACTTACAAGTCATGGCTTCCACAGGCATTTTCCATAAACATTTTAAACACTATTTTTGTTCATTTAAAACTGCATATTTTAAAACATATGGTTTCTCCATGTTTACTTCTTTAATCCTTTAAGGTGATTGCGACAGAATCACACTGCATGTTATTTATGCAAAAAAAAATTCACGGTGTCTTTGTTAATGGATACATCATTTAAATCAAGTGCAAGCCTGGATTTGAAGTGTTGATTTGACTGTGAGAATGATTACGTTTGTTTATGATATCTATAATTATAAGTGATGAGGATCAGCTGGCTGATGGATGGTGCTATGCTTGCATAAAAACTCACAAGGACTATTCGGATTCTGATTGTTTTCAAGAAATGTCAAGTAAATATTAATTACGTTATGCATTTAGTCTACCAGCATTGGTAAAAAATAGTTTCTATAGTTCTGGAAATATTACAGCATATTATGCAATTTGTGAGGATGATATTTTGATAAGAAAAAGTTACACAAATGGAAAAGGGGATCTGTCTAGTACAATATTGCGGTAGACAGAGACACGGGTTTGGGTGACCTTCTTGATTCTAAGCTGAATCATCATGTTTGCTGTGGACCTCTACATTCAGAACTTGTTCTGGTTTTTTTTTGTTCGTTTATTTATTTGTTTATTTGTTGTTGTTATCTTTTGCCCAACTGCTTAATGTTAAAGTTCAGACTTTATTTCTGGGCTCCTTTGTTCATTTTTATTCTCTGCCTAGGAGTTAAAGCATGTTTGTAGCTTCAAAAAGTATCTCTAGCCTGGTAGCCCCTAAATTCATGCATGGGGTTCACCATCTACTCCTGACTGTCTGATAAATACACCTCCCCCTTCCCTCCACCCACTGTGCCAAACTTGTTTTCTGATAGTCCACTTCACTGTTGCTGGTTCTGTCTGATACTCCTGTGTTCAAGGCAGAAGAAAACCCATATGCTGGATCCACTCTGTTTCTTCATTCCATATGCTCATCTGTAAATCATGACCTTGGTCTGAGACAAACTCGCCTTTCCTAGATGACGAAAGCAACTTTCTCATCCATCTCCCCATTTCCATTATTTTCCTTCCTTCCTCCAAATGTCATCATTTACAAAACATTAGTTACACCTCTGCATGGCTTGACTCCACAAGTCTTTCTCTCGTACTTCTGTATCATAAACTGTCAAAATATTCTGCATATATAATTATAGTGTCTGGTGAGGCCTTTGGTCCATTTGGGACTAAGTTTCCATCTTTCCCTCTGTGTTTCATCCCAGGCTAGTAGAGCAATTCTCTTCCTTGTTTGTTCCATTTCTACTTCTCATCCTCATGTTAGAGCCAAGCATTAGAGCCAAGTGACTCTTTCTTTCTTCCCTCTATTCTCTGAGTGAAGGCTGCCTATCTCTGACCACCTCTTAGGGACACCTACTTGGACAGTAACTGACAGAGACTTCCTGCTCCCAACAGGGAGTCACATCCTGTCCTAGGACTCTTTGTTATTACACAGCAGTAATCTTACATTTAGATTTAGTTGTTTTAATAGTTGAAGCTTATTTACAGTACTTCCCATCTTTTGGAGTACAGTTTCTGCTAGAAGTTTGCTTGTCTCCAACTATCTCTTTTCTCTACAGTACCCTGAGTCTGAAAACAATAAGGTTTTCACATAGATCTACAGAGTAAATGGATTCATTTTAGGAGGTTAAAAAGACCACTATAATTACATTTAGTAGGATCTGAAAAGCTAACATTTAAAAAACAGCTACATGCCTCAAATATATGAATGCATTTTTCAAAGAAAAATACTCCTTGCTGCAAGTCTTACCTTTCTGTGGCAGTTTGGTACAAGGTCGGCAATTTTCTTTTAAGGTATTTTATTTAGGGTTTAGAGATGTGGCTCAGAGGTTAAGAGCAGTGACTACTCTTCCAGAGAAGCTGGGTTTGATGCCCAGCATCCACATGACAGCATCTAACCGTCTCTAACTCTAGTTCTGGTGGATCTGATTTCTTTTTCTAGCCTGTGTGGGTACCCAGCACAGGTGTGGTGCACAGACATATATGCCACTAAGGTACCCATACACATAAAAAGAAAAATAATGGAAAATAAAAAGATATATTTTTGTACTTTAAAAATGATATTAATCTAGTGTATACTGTAACTTAACTCAGCTGATTCAGTTCTTTGAAGTTAAGTTGTTATCATCTGTTAACATGAATTTATATGTTTCAAATCTTGTTTGGGGTTAGAAGATGAAACTATAATATAAGTAGAAGGTTTTCACTAATCAGTAGCAGTCTGGAAATTTTTTACTCAATAAAAGACAAATACTTTTGGCATAATTGGCTTATTCTTTTAAAATATTATTCAATAGAAGATACCAAAATATCTATATTATATAGTTTAAATGTATTACATAATCATGTAACATATATATACCCACCATTGAGGTTACCTCGTTAGTAAATTGTTGTCATACATAACAAAAATAAAACATGAACAGTTAGACAGGGAACATAGAAGGAAAAAGAAGCAATCTAGTTGAAAATCAAGGAATTTGGAAACGAGTGTCAACTTTATGATTAGTAGTTATTTCAGGAAAACTATTTAAACTTCAGTTTTCTAATGTCTAGATTACAATGAAGGCCATCTTTAAAAATCCATTCCAGCTCATACTCAAGAACATTAAACTTTCCTTTGTGGAGAGATTTTTTTTTCAGGATAACCTACAATTAATCTCTATTATTCATGAAAGACCAGCCATGAAGATTGGAAGTCATTTATGGAGTATTCAATGAAACGTAGCAGACTTCCGGTGAACTCAGGGGGCTGAACACATTTTGGAGGTAGAACAATGAGTGTAGGTGGGAAGGTCATTAGTAGCTGGACAGACCTAGGTTTGCTGAAGTTGCTAAAATGAATGGACATGCATACACAGCAATCACTACTTCATACTCAAGTGCTACAGCTAAAAATGGAGTGCTTTTTGACTGCCCAGAAGGCAGGGCATGGAGAGCCTTGTTTCATCTGGGAGACTATGTGGCCCTTTACAGTGAGATGTCTCAGACTACAGGGCACCATCTGACCATTATTTCTCTAGTGTGTCTCCATTACTTAGATTAAAAAGATAAATTAGTCCCAAATCTAGACATACTTCATGTTACGATATTCCTCTCGCCACTCCCCTCAGGTGACTAAGCAAACCTTAGTCTTATTCTTTGCATAGTAAATATCTCCCTAGCTATGGGGATTCTTAACCACATATTGTAAAATAGAGAAGTACTTTATTGTCTCTACACACATGGGACAGAATGAATACAGAAAACAAGTTAGTTTATTATTGTTTAGTAACAAGTAATTTAGTTGGGACTTAAAGTGAAAAATCTCCAAATTCCTGGCCCTCAATCGATCGTGACTGAGTCTCCTGAAGATTTTTAAAGATCTGTTAATAAGCTAAATGTTTATATCTAATCCATCAGCAAATAGGCTTGCTTACTTTATGTGTGACAAAACCTCAAATGTCTGCCTATGGTACAGAGCCTGTATGTTTCCTCTTACCACTTTTACATTTAGGGCACTTCCTTTTTTCTTGCACAAGAACTAGGACTTCACGTGGAATTTACTCAAGGGTTTGTTATTGTTGCTGTTGTTTGTTTGTATTGTTTTTTATCTCCACAGTTACGTTAGCATGAACGAACCAAGGTTCTCAGTGCTAAGGTCTCAATCACACAAGTATATGGAAACTCATTCTTAAGAAGTAATTCCTAGGGCTGGAGAGATGACTTAGTTAAAGGCTAGGATCACAACCAAAAATATAAGAAGTAATTCCTAGAAATCACCTCTGATACTCACATCAACAATCAAGAAGTCCAACCAGCACCAGGCATTGGTGAAATAGGTTTGAAATCCATAGGCCACCCACTTTAGAAGCATCTCCAGGATGAAGATGTAAGTGAAAACCTTGTCAGCATACTCCAGCATGGTTTTGATTGTCTTTCGTTGCTCAATGTATATATCTTCAAAAGCCTGTGAATCAAGAAAACTTTATTTACTTTAATGCTCTGCCTTCCCAAAAACATTTACAAGTACTTCTAGTATAATATTGAGAACCAAGCAACACTTAGAGGATTATTGGCTTAAATCACTCAAATATTTTTCACCAGGCAGAAGCTAAAGACCAAAGCTAGCTGGGGAATATTGGCACAGGAAAGTTGGCATCTACATTGATTTTATATATGCTGTTATCTTTACTTCTCACCCAAAAGTATCTACCTCAATCACTGCCAAAAGCCATGTTTCCATTCACGGAAGATGAACTAAAGACATTCAGTTCATAAGAGATAGAACTGGCTTCTTCCAACAATATCTTCTGTGATTCCATCTCTTATTTTCAAAGAATTAGCTCATTGTTCTTAAAGAAAGCAAGATTTACAGATAATCCAGAAATACAATTATTTAAGGTAGACTGGAAAACATTTGACTGGGATGTCAGCACAGGGGAATGCCTCTGCAAATGGTATGTCAGTGAGGAAAATACCTAATGGACAAACAGCAGATGTGAAATTCCTTCTGGCTGTTTCATGGTTCTCAAAAAAAATTGCAGAGTTCTCAGCTTTGCATTGCACAGATACACCTATCCTTTTGTTTTCTAAACTGAGTGGGCACTTGAGTATTGCCAGAGCATTGGCTACTTCAATAGAACTTGGTACACAGTCACTTACCAAAGCGCCACTACTGAGGAGAATCATGAACACAATGAATGTCTCAAACCAGTTGTGTTCCACAATGCTATAGCAAGTCTTCCTAAGATTCCACCAGATTTTTCCTTTACCTTCTTCTGTACTTACTTGGCAGAAGGGAAATTTTTTAATGCATCCTAAAAAGCAATATTAATATAATAGATTAGGAAAAATAGACTTTGATCATTAATATGAAAAAAGAACATTTTTACTTCTTCCTTACTCCAACTTAAGCTCATTTTATAGGCAGCCAACTGCTTTACTGCCCAGTTTTGTTTCAACACTCTTCTATATAATGAGTCATACTTAAACTTATAGATTTAGAATTTGTGGAATTTCCATACAGATCCTTGAGTTAAAAAAAATGATTTATTTTTTTAATACAAGTTAGAATCTCTCTGCCTTGAGGCCACTAAGGAAAATAGAGTCTTTTTTTCATCACATTGGTTTGGAAGCAAAATTATATATACAAGTTGTTTATTCATATTCCGATGTGACTCTGGGTACTCACTCCCTTCGTTTTGAGCATAGAAAACCGCACTGTCTCCCTAGGTGTCAGCCATTGTCAGTTTTCTCAAGCTAATTTATATTCAGCCTCGCTTCTTTTCTTAGTCACACCTATGACTCATTTTGCAGCTCATGCCTCTTATTCCGCTCTCCTCTCCTCTGCCTCCTAGACATCATATGATTTCCAATTTCTGTCTAATCTGTTGCTCTCTCTCAGCTACTATTTGTCACATCGAATCCAACCGCAGTGAATCGATAAATCATTACTGATTTCTGTGCAGGTTGAGTTGGTCACTAGAAGAATCACATGGCAGCATGCCAACACTCTACAGCACAGCACCGTTTCCAAACAGCTCTGGTCAGAGCACAGATTAGACAAATGTCGAACTTGGAGGAATGGGTATAATTGCTGTAGCTTGTATAAGTCCAGTTACCCCACTCCTGGTGTATTTTGAAGAAACTGTCATGTCACAATGATGTGACAGTCCAGAATGCCGTGTATTTCAAATATTATTACATCCTGGGGGATAGGGACAACAAGAGCAAAACAGAAAAAAACAACGTATACCCTTAGCACACTTTCTCATTTGTCCAGACACAGGGTTGGCTGTAGCATAATCTGGAAATTTTAAGATCTGGAGCAACTTGTGTGGATGAAACAGGGAAAACAAAATAAATATCCCTTCGCCTCTTTTAAATGAGGCTTATTCAAATTCTGTAGGGATTGAGCATTTCAACAAGTTAGAGTTTCTTTACCTTCAGTAAAGCAAGCTTCTGGCTTAAGGTCCTCCTCAGGTTCAATTTCAGCTTGTTCACCTTCTCGGGGTGGAGCAACATCCACTGTGCTTCCTTCAGAAGAGCTGGTTGCATTTAATTTCTGGAAATAAAGCCCATGTCAAAGATATGAATCTCTCCCCCTTTTACTCTATCATGTGTGGAAAATGGCACCAAAAGTGACATGTTTAATTCTACTGATGACGACACACTAGTAACATGAGCAAGGTCTACTCTTCAGACAGAAAGGACAGTGGTTAGTGCAGATGCTTGGAAAGACAGACAAACTTGCTTTAGAATCTTCATTTGTGCATGAATGCCATGTGCAAGTCAACTATGACTACTCCAGCCACATCACGAAGGTCTCGTAAAGTTCACGGTGCTCTCATCTATACTATTTTATTATTTTAATTAAATGCATCAAATCAGATCACAACTTCCACCTCTTCAGATGGAAGTTTTCAGAGGGCAAAGAGCATCATCAGTTGCTTCTAAGTACTGTCCGTGTTTCTGTAATTTTAGCAAGGCAGGGCTACAGGTTAACATCAATCACACTCATTATGGTTCAGCTTTGAGCTAGATTTTCCTCTGGCTTACATAATTTTCTCCTTACTTTACTAGAAGAGAATGATGGATCACCCCCTCTCATTCCTTTTTGAACATCATAAATGAATGCAACACTTGCAAAGACTTCTAAATGAAATGGAAATTTCTCCATAAATGACATTGTCTGGAGTCTTTATTAGGGGCTCATCCTGAATGCAACGTATGATCAGGCTGCAAAATTTTCCTTTAAATAAATCATTGTGACACAACGTATGGCAAGAATAGCCACCTTAATGTTGCCAGAATGAATATCTAATAAATTTTCTGGGATCATGTGGAAAGACATCATGGATGTGCAGTGTTTTATGGAAACTGAGGCACAGACTTTACATACAGCAAAGCTTATGGGATGTAAAACTTTTACGATGGAAGATCAGCTCGTGGACACACCAGTGGCTTCAAAGCTCCATTAATTTCAGCAGCCAAGTGTTTGGATCACAGTGTTCTAGCCTTTGGAAAGAGTGGATGTGCTATTCTAAAAAGACCTAAATGCTTCCCTAAACAGAAGTTCTATTGGGAGAAATTTGTCTCATCATTCCTGACTTATCTTACATCTCAACGCCGATATGGTTTTAATATTTTTGAAACGTGAACTAAAATCAAAGAGTAATTTTAGGATAGTGCTTGCCTCCTGTGTTGTTATTTTGAGTTAACCATGTGAAACTAAATATATAACAGAATATATTGTTTTATATATTAGTATATGTTTAATATATCATCCTTTCTAGTGAAAAGTATGCTGGAGAAGGGAGCTATTTGATCATTTTGAGCTGATGGTTCTTAAGGTTGTCATACAATATGAATTTTTGCCTCAAATCCCCTTACTTTGGGAAATGTGGGAAAGCCGAGACAGACTTTCTCCTCCCAAGCTTTTTGGGTCCTTTCAGTCAGGCTATTTTTATTCTTAAAAAAGAAAAGCCCAGGAAAGCTGCGACTGAGCATAGTTGTAGCAGCTTCTACTGTGACTCAGGGCATACTGGGTAATTGATACCAGCACTCAGCTTCACCAGTGGTGGATGGGGTGAATACTGTGGCCTTTGATGAGTGGGCACAATTATGCCACTGCATAAATAGCACTGATAAGAAACCAAGGTATTCAAAGATTAGTCATCAAACAGGTTCATGTTCATCTTCATCCTCTTGGCAAGCTATGCTCAGTAATGTCTTCTTAGCATGGCCATGATCTACCTTCTCCATAAATTCTGTCTTACATGACTGCCTCAGTCAAAGTTCACAGTCCATTTAGCTACTACACTTGTTACTTTTGGCCAAATATGCTCTTTTATACATGTGTGTGCATGTTTATACATAGAAGAGTGAACAGATATACATGTATATGTACACAAACATATACTTACACTTACATACCGAGTACACAGTACACATACATATTATGTATTATAATGTCAACTTTATAACCAAATAGTGATTATACATTAAATCTTTATATTGCTTTCATGAAGAGTGAATAGATGGATGTATTTTTTAAGTTACTTTTATATAGAGAGTTACAAAGTTTACTTAACTCCATCTCTACTTTTTGATAAATTATGTTAATACATTGATTTGAATAAAGTCTAGCAATATTAGAAAATGTTTTTAATGAATATAAGTACATTAATATTAGAAACATATACTTCCAAATGGTTTTCTATAGTAACACACATTCAATAAAGAAGCTTGAGGGGAGAATATTATTAGCATTACATAAAAAATACATGCATATATGCTTTGTCATGTGAATATTTTTAGAAAATATACTTACCCTTCACTTCCTACTAACCAATGGTTATTATGTTTAATTTTCAACCAAATTTATCTTATCAATGGTATACTTATGTCTTATATTTAAAAATAAATACCCATTTAACATAATGCTTCATAGTACGATTAATATTAACTACTAACCTGGATGACTAGCTTGCCCAGTGTGGACCACTGGATGCAATTTTTCTATTGTGTTGCCTTAAGATGATAAATGTACAGCTATAACTAACACATCTGAATTTCATAATATCCATGTCCAGTTGGCCCTCGAGATAATGCATATATATCTTAAATAGAGAGGACACTGTTCTATTTTCCCCCCTCTATCTGCCCATGGCTCTGACATTCAGCATGTCTTAACAATAGGTGGGGAAAAGGCCATGTCTTCTTTCTAGTCTTGTCTAAAGAGTAGAATCTGATGATATGGAGAACTGCTTTGTAGCCATCCAAGAGATTTCCTGATTGTTACACATTTTAAGCTTCAGCCCTGGGAAGCTTCCCAAAGAATGTTCAGAGGGATTCTTATAAGTCCTTAGGACTTTCATAAACCAAAGACTAAAAGATGGTATACTAGTTTCTGTCTCGTAAGTGTTTTACAGGAGGCTTCTCCTCTCTGAGAGTTTAAAGTGAGCTTCCACAAGTCAGAGCTCTAGTCCTACTGAGGCCTCATTGGTGAGCAAGGCGACACTGTTGGAAACCCTCAGGCCATATTTTGGTCACAGAAAAGTGTGAATATTTTATTCTGTGAAACGATGAAATCTTGTTTAAACCATGAGAAGACATCAAAGGTAGCCATTTTACTTACATTAGTAAATGAAACCATGAGTTGAGTTCAGATTAAGTGACACAAAATGCCCAATATACTACCTGGTATTCTCGAATCACTGGATACATGAAGAAATTCATATCTGCATTTTCAAATCACTATTTTACTTTCTAAAATTCTTATCACTATGCCAAAACAATTACCAAATTAATTGAAAAGCATATGACTTATTTAAAAGCAGTTGGCTGATGATAAATACAAAGGAAAAAACTTACTTTCATTTATATTGCCAGAATTGTGATACTATAATGACATCAAAAGAGTAAAGAAACCAGAAATGAAATTTACCATATTAAATTACTTAAGTGCATTAAGTAGCCAACATTAATGCTTGTTCTGAGGTAGTTAGAACAAATCAATATATCTGGGACTATAGGCATAACAGCAGAAGGCCTCCAGATAAAACCACATAGTACAAGTTCAATCTTGCTTCCTTGTACTATTTTCTCCTTAACCTGTCCAATATCACATGGCCCTTAAAAGTTAGAGTCTTCCATCCCTTGTAGAGACTGCTGACTCTACAGAAGGATGATGACTTAGGCTCTATGAATGCACGCCGGAAGCAGGATTTAAAATGCAACATTCTCCAGGCCGAACTCAGCCACAGAAAACATGCCTGGCTATAGCAGAAGCCTGGCGCAATGCTGTGGAAGTGCTTGCTGATCCAAGAACCATGCTCTCAAACATGGTACCTGATTGTGATGCTTTCAAGGTGAACTACAACTACCACTCACTCAGAGGAATGGGTTATCTCAACAGAGGAATGACAGAATTAGCCACCAAACAGGCCATGAAGACATTTCCCCCAGATCACGTGACCTTATAGAGCCATTCCTCTCTAGAGGAAGAGCATGAAGAATAGCACTCTTGATATTTTGTCCAATTAAATAATAGAATTTAACGTTCAGAGATAGAAAAGAATGTTAGCGACTGGCCTACTTCCACTGAAATGCGCTCACATTTCATTTTTCAATCAGTGCTCACATTTTTTGACTCTTACAAACTGCTGTATGGTTCAAGAGACAAAATAAAAGATTCAGCCATTACAGATTGCCTCAAAAATCGAGCCATTACTCTCAAGAATTCTCGATTTTGTCATACAGGTAGACGAAAGTCTTTTGAGGGCCTTGGTCTGATAACTTGGATATGAAAATTCATATCCTGCTTTAAAACAGTTTACATGAACAACAAGCAGCCACATACTGAGGCCATTTGTTGTTGCTTGTCCAAGGCAAGAAATGACTAAAACCAATAACTTACTTTTCAACCACTTACTGAGTGGTTAAAAAATATAAACTGCCACCATCTGGTTTCTCCTTGACATATGTTAAATGTACAATACCCTGGGTGCTCCTTTTATGTAAAAATAGCCATATTCATAAAAGCATGGTATGTAAAATGGAAAGTAATTATGCTGTAGGTGGAGAGTAAGGCAAAGGGCATTAAGAAAGTAGGAGAGAAAGACCACTTATCTTGAGAAGGGAGACAAACAGTTCCATCAGAACCAGACTTAATTGGGGTTTCCTCTGCAGAAGAACACCAAAACAGTTCTCTAAAGGTCGAGATGGGTTAAAGTGGCTATTTATATACCCGTCTCTGCCTCTTAAAATGTTATTTGAAAGACACAGTCAAGAAATCAAAAGCTAAAGTCATTTCCCATCATTCATCAATGTCTGAAAATAACACAGTGCTTTTTCCAGTAGACTCAAGAACTCAAACACTTATTCTTTAAAATTTTCACAAAAGCTTCAGAAACGAATTTCCCTGAAAGGAACATGATGAGACCTACAACTTCCCAACATTTTTTCATTCTATTCAGCTAAATCAACAGCAACAGTGTTTTTCCACTTTTCATTTAAAAAAATATTTTTGAATTGGTTGAACTCAGCAATTAAGTCTCAATA